TGGTAACAAGGTTGTGTCCAAGAAATGAGTTCGAAACGAAGAGTGCCAAAACATTTGAAATTGAAACGCAAGCGGGATGTTCGAAATTTAAAAATATATGCGCTGGAGCATTCGAAGACGCGTGGAAGCGAGAGAGGGGCATTGCTTTGCATGTTCTGAACGTGGCAGAATCTTATAGCAAGACCGTTATGGTCGAAGTAGTATAAATAGAAGTCTTAGCATTAGGATTTCGTGTGTCACATCTACTGTAAACAAATTCAATAAACATTCAAAATACCACATGGCTAGGGAAACGAATGCACGAACAATGTACGTATGATAACACCAAATGTTTATGATTCAATAAAACTCTTTATCATTTCCAGTCTTTTACTCTATCTTCATGTCAATATCATTCAAAAGCCTTTACATTAAAATATTTTCATTCGAAGTCTTTTACTGATGTCTTACATTTAAATATTTTCTTTCCATTTCAAATCCTTTACATTTCAGAAACTTTTGTATATTTCATGCCTTTATCTTCATGCTTTTGTCATTCGAATACCTTTTTCATTTAAAGTCATTTTACTGATTTCTTGCATCTAAACGCTTTCTTCAAATTTCGAATCTTTTACATCCCATAAACGCTTTTACATTACATGTTTTTATGCTTCGAAGTCATTTACTTGTCTTTTCTGCAGTTTTATATGTCTTTACAATTGAACTTTATTCATGCAATTTAGTTCCGCACGCATTTACTTGATCATGTTATTAGATCTTTAATAGAGTAATCGAAGTAAGTTAAACACCTACACAACATTCTAAACACCAACCATGAATATCAGTTTCATAACGAGAATTATCCAAATGACCAATACATCCTAGGATCAATCTAGTCGATCCTGCAAGTTACCAGAGAGATTAAATAACAATCATTAAGATTATTTGATAGTTTGGAGGACTAGCGGTTGTTTACCAGAAATAACTGTAAACAGTACCGCTAACAACATTGTTTATGTCTAAACATAGATGTGATTTCAATCGTATTGTTTATTCGACGATCTCTCAGCCTATTGAACAATGCGATAGCATGAAGAATCGGTGGTATCAATGCATGTTAAACCCTAAATCTATCTCTATATTTTAGTGTTTAATAGATTATTATCCTAAATCAAGATTCAAACAGTATTTCTTAATAACACACGCACACACATGCACACACACGCACACACACACACGCACACACACGCACACACATGCACACACACGCACACACACACACACACACACACGCACACACACACGCACCCACGCACGCGCGCACCCACGCACATACACACATGCGCGCACGCGCACACACACGCGCACGCACGCACGCACGCGCACCCCCCCCCCCCCCCCCCCCCACACACACACACACCCACACACCCACACCCCCCCACACACACCCCACACACGCACGCACGCACACGCGCGCAGGCAGACACACGCACGCACGCACACACACACACACACACACACACACGCACACGCACACGCACACGCACACGCACACGCACATATTTGTCACCTCATCCATCTCTCTTTTAGATTACATTCTAAAAGTTATTTAAATAAGAATAGTAAAGATACATATTTTTAGAATTAAAAATCATAAATATCTTTTAATATATTTTATATTAATTTAAAATAGTATAAATATTTTATAATATCATTTATATTAATTTGAAGTATACTTTAAAGTATTTTTTAATATCTTAGAGCATTTCTAAATTAATATAAAACAATTTTATATTATTCCAACATATTAACGAATCAATCTTCAAATTGAAATAACCAAATCTAATATTCGTAGATCATCCCAGTCAGACCTACCGCCCGCCAAACTTCCCTCTGCAACTCCACCGGACTTTTCAGCATTCTAATTTTTACAATCTTAATTTTGTTTTCTCTTCAACAATAAAGATTTTTAGACATAATTCAATCATTTTATTATTTTATTTTACATAATTGAGTTGAAAGAATACTTGTGTTAAATTTAAATTTTATTGAAACATATAATCATATAATTAGTGAACATAATTAGTGAGAGTAACATGATATGAGATGCTTTCAAGACAATTATACAAGAATTATAAAAATGATTGAGATCTGAAATATATTTTTAAAACACAAGAAAAGCTAAAAGCACGTGTGTGTAACCGATTAACTAACCGGTTGTCACTGAAATAAAAACAAATCAACACGGATGTAACCGATTAATTAATCGATTACAACCGAAATAAAATAAGTTTTTTCAAATTTCAAAAATATTTATTTCTCAATTTTAATCGATTTCCACCCATATTAACTAGTTACATCACTTAAATTAAGGATGTTTCATCCAACAAATTCAAGGCTTCAACAATAGGTTCTTTTCTTTTTTCCATTTTCATGTAAATGGGTCGAACGCCTGCACCACCAACTTCCTTTTTGATCAAATAGCATTTATTTGGGTTATTTGCAGGCTTGTCGCAATATGACAAACTGACACTTGTATTATTATAGATAATGGATTAGAAAGAGATATTATATTTTCAAAACATAACCAATTAATTAGCCATGCTTAATTACGTGACAAACAAGGTTGGTAGTGAATGACAAATTTGATAGTGACATTGTATATTAGGCGAACTATGCATGCACTTTTATTAAAAACATAATATCATTGACTCGTTTCCATACTTTATTGTGTACCAACATTAATTATTTTTCTTAATAGTTTTTATGCCTCCATTTAATACTAATAATTATAATCCATTGATCAATATTGGCTGGTTTTTTAAGAATCATTTATTTTATTTTTTGTCAGCTCTATGATTTTTTTTGGTGAGCATGGCGAGTTCTATGATGAATACAGCTTTACTTGACTCTTAATCAACAAGTTGCTTATGTTTTCCTCTTTTCTACCATAAACAATTTATGTCCTCAACTAATATATTGACTCATAAAGATTCCAGCAATTTTTGTCACATATTTTCAAATTAATTTGTGACATGTACACCTACCATAATGTTTATCTTATCAAAATATGATTGATTTTCCTTGCGAGAGAAGTTATATATATGGTTCAAAGCTTAATTGTGGGACCATGTGTGACTTGAAATTTCATTAACATGTTGGAAACGCAAGAAAAATCAAGGGAGTTTCAATTTGTGTCTAATGTTAAGCATTAACTCACCATGCAATCATGCATGTCTTGGCCCAACACATTAGGTCTAAAACAGCTTTAATGGCGATATATTTAGTAAAATTACTAAATTTAATTTAAATATTTATTTTTAACACATTTTTGATTTTCTAAAAACTATTTATTTATTTACTTAATGTGATCAATTTTGTTTAATGTTTTTTATTTGTTAATGAAGTCAATTCATTATCGTAACAAAAATATTTAAATATTCAAACATCAAATTGGTACACTAAATTCTTCATTTAATATTTCGCATGGAAGCCATTGAGATTGTGTCAAACAATTGTGCTAATACTCTTGCTTAAGAAGAAAGAATGTTGAAGGTTGATTGTAAATTATTTCGGGAGCCTCCTGAGTTCTTGACAAAGAATTTAGAGGCTGATTTTGATGGTGTCCTAATTGTTAGATATGTTGTTTTTTAGTTTTCTTGCTTTGGGATTCGACCCTTCTTACTACAAAAAAAATATATATAAAGACATTTTTATGATTTTTTTTGTTTTGTATTTTTCGAGTGTTTTGGTGGCTTTATCTTCAGATTATCTCACATTTCCACAATAAAAATTTGATTGTTAAAAGAAACAAGTTCACATGGTAGAATTCAGAAAAATAAGGTAAGGGAACTTATTTTGTTTAAATTCCTGGATTTTGTGACCACTTAAGAGATCAAACTTAGTGAGGTATCTTCAATCCTAGTTATTTCTTAAGAAATATTCTGGCAAGTTGATCTCTAAGAATCAAACAACTTTCGTTCCGGTCAAAAATATTGTGGATGGAGTCTTGGTTGTTAATGAGGTGCTAGATTTGGCAAAGAGGGAGAAAAAAAGTTGTTTGGTGTTGAAGGTGGATTATGAGAAGGCATATGATAATGTTAGCTGGAATTTCTTACGGTTTTGCCTAGAGAAGATGGGTTTTGGGATGAAATAGAAAGGGTGGATGGAGGCTTGTGTATTCAATAGCACCATGTCTGTACTGGTGAATGGGAGTACAACTAAGGATTTCTCAGTTGAATGAGGTTTGTGCCAAGGGGATTCGTTGTCCCCTTTCTTGTTTGTCATGGTTATGAAGGGTTTGACGGGGCCGATGAATAAAGTTGTCGAGTTAAGGGAATTCAAATGTTTCTATGTTAACGAAAAAGTTTCTCTTGACATTCTCTAATTCTCCAATGACACGATAATTTTAGGTGATGGGAGCTTGGAGAATTTTTGGGGTATGAAAGCAGTGTTAAGAGGATTTAAACTGTTGTCGGGCTTAAAGGTGAATTTTTGCGAAAGCAATATTTACGGTATCAATTTGAGTGAGAGAAACATGAATATAGCTACTATTTTTTATCTTGACGTGAAGATAAATTATCGGTCAAATTCCTTGGAGTGAAGGTTGGTGATAGCCATAGAAGAGTTAGCATGTGGAGGGAGGTTATTAGCAATATTAGTAGCAGGCTTTCCAGTTGAAGGAGTAGGCATTTGTCTTTGTGCAGGAGGGTGTTTTGATTAATATGGTATTGAATGTTATACCAATCTATACATTATCTTTTTACAAAGCTCCGGTTAAGGTGATCCAAGAAATAAGAATGATTCAACCCAATTTTATTTGGGGAGGAAATGTGAACAAGAGAACTGTGCATTGGGCGAGTTGGGAATCTGTTTGCAAACCAAAAGATAAGGAGGGTCTCAGAATAAAAAAACTCGACTTTTTCAACAAGGCTTTTTTGTGTAAATGAAGGATCATTAGGGATAAGAAAATATTATGGAGCGCTTTGTTGAGACACAAATACTCTAATTCGGTTTTAAGGATGTTTGGTAGCGGAGGAATGGGAGGAAATCAAAGAGATTCCGTTTGGTGGAAGGATCTCTTGAAATTGGATTGGTTAGATGGTGTGGAGCAGAGTGTTTTTGCTAACAATATTTTGTGCAGGTTTCTTGAAGGCAACAATATTTATTTTTGGCATAACAAGTGGATGGGTTATCAAATGCTAAAAGAGGCTTTTCCAGAACTGTTTGCAATAACGGCATATCCAAATTTCTATATGGTAGATGCTTGTTTTTGGGAAGAGTCTGTTTGGAAATTGAAGGAAGTGTCTAACCAGAGGTCTCAAGATGATGTAGCAGCTCATCAGGAAGAGGATGTCCTCTTTTTGCTGTCGGTTTTCAAACCTTCTAAGTCTGCTGAAGACCAGTTTTGGTAGCTGCCCGACGATAATGGTATTTTTCTCTCTATGAAGTCTTGTTATAAAGCTCTCAATTTGGGTCCTACTGATGTAACATATGATGTGATCACAACCTTGAAGAACTTATGGAAAGTTTAGTTCCCACGAAAATTCATTTCTTTGGTTGGAGGCTTATTAGAAATAAGCTAGCAACTAGAGACCAACTAATCAAAAGAGGTATGATTGATGGCAGAAGAGATAGTTGTTGCATGCTCTATTTCAGTGATTTCAAAAACAATGGTCACCTTTTTAGCACTTGTGAAGTGTCTTCTAGGATTTGGGAAGCAGTAGATGTTTGGATGTGAAGGGGTATGAGAGTCCCTATTAATACCGCTTTCCATTTTTGGCTAAATTGCTTTGCAATTAAGGATTCAAAGATGAGAAATAAACTTTGCGTGATTTGGCTAGCTACCTCTTTGTGCATTTTTGATAATGAGGAATGCCATCTTATTTCGTGGTATAACTTTTAATTTCAAAGAATGTGTTTTATCCATCAAACTGTTGTCGTGGAAGTGGATATGTAAGAGTAGGATCTTTTTTTAATGTAATTTCTACGATTGGTGCACTTCTTCTCTGGATGTTTGTTGATTGTGGGATCTCTTTTCGGTATGTGTTTATTATATTAGGTTATAGTACCCCTTGTACTCTCTTTATAATATCATTGCTTATTGAAAAAAATCCTAGTTAGTTTTTATGGAGCAATTATTTTTCTTATTGAAGCTTTTATCTTTCAATAAGAGTAGTGGTGGTATTCATTCAGTTTAGTTTAGTTCAACGAAAAAAATTAGTTTTCTTCTCAAGTAGTGATTTCTTAGGTGTTTGTTTGAAACAGGTTTTATTCAAACAATTTCCTTTGTGGTTAATATCTACTCTAAGGGTGTCGTGAAAGATAAGAGAATTATGCAGGATGACCTTTGTTTTCATAAAGTTAATTTTGGAGGTGATATTTGGTGTGTTTGAAATATTTTAATTATATTTGTTCAATTAATAAAAGGATATGAATATATGTTTCTTCTATCTCCTCTGAGAGTGTGGATTACTTAGACTTTTTTATCTCTCATATGGAGTTAATCAATCTTCCTCTTCCAGGGAAAAAGTTCACTTGACTCTAGCATAATGGATCGTGGGAGAATTAGGGTGAGATGTCTCAGTGGGCCCTTCCTAAGGATGTGTTTGATCATTGTCCCGTTGTCATTAAATGTGCCAACCAGATTTGGGGTCTTAATCCTTTAAGATTCAATAATCATTGATTATCTCACCCATGATATTTTGAGATAGTTCTATCGTCTATAGTCCAAAGATCCACGGATGGAAAGCTTTTATTTTGTTGAAGAAATTAAAAGCTCTTAAGTTGGTCTTATTTTTTTTTTAAATAACGTGTGTTTGGAAATATTAATTCTCATATTGTCTCCTTAAAAGATGTGGTGAGTAATGTGAATTTTTTGGCTAATATTAGGACATTATATGGTGAGGAGATCGAGATAGTATTTGGTACAATTGCAAATATTTGGTCCTTGTTAATGATTAAATATTTTTAATTGTACAAAATGTCTAGGTCTAAGTGGCTTAAAGAAGGTGATTCTAATTCTGATTTTTTTCACGCCTCCATTAAAACTAGAGGTATAAGGAATGTTATCTTAGCCCTTAAGGTTAAAGAAGGTTGGATTGAAACTGTGTATGAAACTAGGCAAGAGGTTCATTTTTAGGTTTTTCTTAAATCATTTTAAAGAACCAAATGTTGATAGGCCTCGTACTAATGGTGTTGATTTCCATTCCCATTTGGATGACGATAATTTTACTTTGACAGTACCCTTCATAATCCAGGAGTTAGATTATGATGTGTCTTAATGTGAGATTAACAAAGACCCAAGTCCAGATGGTTTCAATTTGTCCTTCCTAAAAAGGTTCAAGAATTTAGTGAGAGAAGATCTAGAAGTCATGTTTAATTAGTTTCACTAATTTTCATCTCTACCTCATACTTTTGCATCCTACTTTGTGGATTTAATCCCTAACATTAAGCCTCCTACTCAGGGGGTGATTTTAGGTCAATTTCTCTAGTAGGATCTTTATATAATAAGTTGCCAGCTTAAGTGTTGGCTTCTAGACTTGGGCAAGTAATGAAGAAGCTTATTTCTTCTAATCAATCACCATTCCTTAAATTAAGGAGGTCGGTTGATATAGTGGTGGTTGTTAATGAAATCATAGATTTGGCCAAAAGATCTAAGAAAGATTGTCTTATTTTTAAGGTGGAATTTGAGAAAGCATATGATTCAGTCAGTTGGATTTTATGGATTATATGCTTATAGGGTTTAGGTCTAATGAGAAGTGGAGCTCTTGGTGAGCACTTGTGTGTTATATGCGAATATTGTGGTGCTGGTCAAGAAATGCTTAACTCAAGAGATCAGTATCCAAAGGGGTTTGAAGGAAGTGGATTCTTTAAATCCTTTCCCTATTCTCCTTATGGCCAAGGGGCTTAATGGTTTAATTTATAAGAATGTTGAGCTTAATATTTACTCTGGGTGTAGGGTGGGAACATCTAATTTGGTGGTCTCTCACCTTTAGTTTGTAGATGACATCCTCTTTCTTGCATTCCCATATTTTAGAACTTATGGATCATTAAGGAGGTCCTAAGGGAGTTTTAGCTAGTCTTTGGGTGTATATGTTCAAGAGCGATCTTATAGGATTTAATGTACACCTTAACTTTATGACCACAACGAGTGATTTCTTCCACCGTGAGATAGAAACTGATCTTATCGGATCAGAAATAGACCGTCACAGCTAGCTCGGGCAGAAGTTGAATGAGATGAGGGGGGGGGGGGGGGCACCTGCAAGACACTCTGATGGCAAAGTAAGTTGCGGAATGAGCAAGAAAGTATGATTTCAGAGAGATGAATTAAATACATGACCCTCTTAGGAGAGAGGGTATTTATAGCCCCCAGCGCTGGGCCAAGGTTCCCTCTATTGGGCCATGTTGAGGCCCAATAACAGGAACTGTCAGGGCTTACGTGTGTATGGAGTCCAGCAAGTGGACTCCCCCTGGTCAACTGCTCCGCGAGAACAGTGTTGGACCCGTGATTTCCGGAGGGCAGTTTAAGATAGCTATCGTGGGATCGTGGGCCACGTCCTCCAACGGTCGGGTGGGAAGTTTCCCAACGGTTCCTAACTTGGGTTGTCTTTAGGCTTCCTGTTCAAAGGGTAAATGTAGGCCCAATTCAGATCAGAAACCATCTCATTTAAGTACCTAGGCCTACAAATGGGTGCTAAACCTAGGATTGAAACTACTTGAAACCATTTAGTCCACTTGTTAACCAATAGGCTATATCCTTGGAAGTACAAATATTAGTTTGGATGGTCGAGTGGTTCTTCTAAATTATATGTTTAATGTCATCACTATCTTTTTTCTGTCTTTTTGGAGATGTCTTTGAAGGTTTGAAAGAAGCTTGTTAAGATTAAAAGAATGTTCCTTTGGGAAAGAGTGAAGGAAGATTCAAAGATCTCGTGGATCATTAGGGATAATGTTTATAAATCTAAGAGTTAAGAAGGGTTAGGAGTTAAGAACCTTTGGATGGCAAGCCTAGCTCTTTTGACTAAATGGAAATGAAGATTAGTTACATGTGCTTGAGGTATTTAGTGTGATTTTCTTGTACCTAAATATGGTGTATCGGTTTCTTCCTCTCATTGGGGGTGGGTAGGATCTCGAGTTTCTTATCTACTTATTTTTGGTAAAAATGTGTGTCTCTTCTTAGGTCTAAATAGGATCCTTTAATTGGTTTGTTGATGGTATTCTTAAGAAAATGGGACATGGTTTCTAGACTTCTTTTTAGAAGAATCCTTGAGCATAACATATTCCTCTAAAGAACAAGTTCCTTATTTTTTTTTCAAGTTTTACTCAACCATATGGGTTGGTCGGAGAGATTGGCATGATGGAAAATGGGAACCTTATTTAGGATCTCAGATGGAGGAAATATTTCTTTTTTCGTGAGTCACATGTGGTTGATATCCTTTTCTCTATACTTCATGATTACTCTCTCTTAGAATAAAGACAAGTGGAACTAAAATCATATATGATATATTATATGCTTTATTGCCTCTAATTATCATGTTTAGTTCGGCCTTTTTATCCCTTATTTGTCCCCTTGTATGACTGAGAACTCGACCATCCCCTAATTTGGTTCAAATGGACCTCTTATAAGGTGATGGTCTTTTTTAGGAAACTTCTGCAAGATAGACTCCCTTCTATGGAGAACCTATTTGAATTGTTGGGGGGGGGGGGGGGGGGGAGTGATTGTTGATTCTAATGGGATCTCTTGTCTCCTTTGTGGGGGGTTTTGTTAAGTCGGTTTTCCTTATTTTTATTACTTTGAGTTAGTTTTGGCAGTTTAGTATAAAATCTTTCGGTGTTTGGGTTGGTAGGAATCTATTCCTGGTGGTCGTAGATTTTTACTGGAGTATATCCTCTCTTTGAATGGTAGGGCTATCTAGGGGTGATTTTGCTATGATTTGACATGTTATTTGATTTATTTAGAGGATTCACAATGATCAACATATCTAACTAGAGCATATGTGAACTCATAAACTTTATTTTACTGGCTTCAAAACCTTATCATCTATCTTAATCATTAACATATTGCGTGTTTGTCATGATTTTAAGGTTGACAGTGGTTTGTGATTTTTGATTCTTTTTTGTTGACCTCTAAAATGTTGATGGTGATTGATAGTCTAAGATCTAGCCTGAATTCTAGAGGTGGGGTTTCTAGTTATTTGAGGTTTTTTTTTTTCTACGAGATCCATCTAAATTTTTAGTTGTTTTGTTGCTTCTTTGTTATTTTAATTTTTTTATTGTACCTTTTATTTTTCTTTGTTGGAATTCATTTAGCATTTCTTGTGCTAAGTGATTCTCTCCTTTTATACTTAAATGATTTTTACTTATTTATTAGTATATTATTTTTATTTGAATGTGTGAGTTGGACCTAATTTAA